CGGCGCCTCGAGGGCGTGGAGAGGGCGGCCGCATGCCCTCGTCAGCGGCGGGAGCTCGGCCGGACGGCTGCAGCTGCGCCTCCGCCCCGCCGTCGCCGCAGCGACTGGCCGACAGCTCGGATCGGCAGCCACGTCGGCGGCGCCGCCCCCGCTTTGCTGCTGCCAGTGCGACCGAGCCAGTGAGCTCGCGGTGCGGCGCCTCGAGGGCGTGGAGAGGGCGGCCGCATGCCCTCGTCAGCGGCGGGAGCTCGGCCGGACGGCTGCAGCTGCGCCTCCGCCCCGCCGTCGCCGCAGCGACTGGCCGACAGCTCGGATCGGCAGCCACGTCGGCGGCGCCGCCCTCGCTTTGCTGCTGCCAGTGCGACCGAGCCAGTGAGCTCGCGGTGCGGCGCCTCGAGGGCGTGGAGAGGGCGGCCGCATGCCCTCGTCAGCGGCGGGAGCTCGGCCGGACGGCTGCAGCTGCGCCTCCGCCCCGCCGTCGCCGCAGCGACTGGCCGACAGCTCGGATCGGCAGCCACGTCGGCGGCGCCGCCCCCGCTTTGCTGCTGCCAGTGCGACCGAGCCAGTGAGCTCGCGGTGCGGCGCCTCGAGGGCGTGGAGAGGGCGGCCGCATGCCCTCGTCAGCGGCGGGAGCTCGGCCGGACGGCTGCAGCTGCGCCTCCGCCCCGCCGTCGCCGCAGCGACTGGCCGACAGCTCGGATCGGCAGCCACGTCGGCGGCGCCGCCCCCGCTTTGCTGCTGCCAGTGCGACCGAGCCAGTGAGCTCGCGGTGCGGCGCCTCGAGGGCGTGGAGAGGGCGGCCGCATGCCCTCGTCAGCGGCGGGAGCTCGGCCGGACGGCTGCAGCTGCGCCTCCGCCCCGCCGTCGCCGCAGCGACTGGCCGACAGCTCGGATCGGCAGCCACGTCGGCGGCGCCGCCCCCGCTTTGCTGCTGCCAGCGCGACCCCGCGGTGCGGCGCCTCGAGGGCGTGGAGAGGGCGGCCGCATGCCCTCGTCAGCGGCGGGAGCTCGGCCGGACGGCTGAAGCTGCGCCTCCGCCCCGCCGTCGCCGCAGCGACTGGTCGACAGCTCGGATCGGCAGCCACGTCGGCGGCGCCGCCCTCGCTTTGCTGCTGCCAGTGCGACCGAGCCAGTGAGCTCGCGGTGCGGCGCCTCGAGGGCGTGGAGAGGGCGGCCGCATGCCCTCGTCAGCGGCGGGAGCTCGGCCGGACGGCTGCAGCTGCGCCTCCGCCCCGCCGTCGCCGCAGCGACTGGCCGACAGCTCGGATCGGCAGCCACGTCGGCGGCGCCGCCCCCGCTTTGCTGCTGCCAGCGCGACCCCGCGGTGCGGCGCCTCGAGGGCGTGGAGAGGGCGGCCGCATGCCCTCGTCAGCGGCGGGAGCTCGACCGGACGGCTGCAGCTGCGCCTCCGCCCCGCCGTCGCCGCAGCGACTGGTCGACAGCTCGGATCGGCAGCCACGTCGGCGGCGCAGCCCCCGCTTTGCTGCTGCCAGTGCGACCGAGCCAGTGAGCTCGCGGTGCGGCGCCTCGAGGGCGTGGAGAGGGCGGCCGCATGCCCTCGTCAGCGGCGGGAGCTCGGCCGGACGGCTGCAGCTGCGCCTCCGCCCCGCCGTCGCCGCAGCGACTGGTCGACAGCTCGGATCGGCAGCCACGTCGGCGGCGCCGCCCTCGCTTTGCTGCTGCCAGTGCGACCCCGATGACTCGCGGTGCGGCGCCTCGAGGGCGTGGAGAGGGCGGCCGCATGCCCTCGTCAGCGGCGGGAGCTCGGCCGGACGGCTGCAGCTGCGCCTCCGCCCCGCCGTCGCCGCAGCGACTGGCCGACAGCTCGGATCGGCAGCCACGTCGGCGGCGCCGCCCTCGCTTTGCTGCTGCCAGCGCGACCCCGATGACTCGCGGTGCGGCGCGTCGAGGGCGTGAAGAGGGCGGCCGCATGCCCTCGTCAGCGGCGGGAGCTCGGCCAGACGGCTGCAGCTGCGC